AGGCAATACAAATCTAATAAGCTTTAAGTGCAAAAAGATAATTAGAAACTGCAATTTGCTTGGCATTCATTTTAAAAAAATGAGGTGAAAAGGCACAGAAATCAGTGTTCAGCTTTCCTGTCTTGAGACAGAAATGCTGTCTTGAGAGCTTTCTGGGATTTTTCTCTGCCCATTAGTTCTTACAGAAGCACCCTTGGAAGTCCAGTAGGACTCTGCATTTCCTAGTCCGGCGGACACAAGGAGAGGGAAATTGCCAAGTGATTTGAAAATTGTTGATGGTAGAAGAGAAAATGGAAACAGGGTGGGTTGTTGTGTTGTTAAGAGAGAAAATTTATTCTCCAAATAGACAAAATGAGGCAAAACATGTAACAAAACCACAAAGGATGTAGTTTGCGTTGGTGCAAGTGTGTTGTCTGAGCTGAGAGCATCTTGGTGCATTTTAATAGCAGTCAGACAGTGGCTTATCTTATTTACACTGGTGTAATCCCTAGTGGATCTGGCTGAGAAAGTGCCATCAGGCCATCATCACAGCAACAACAGAAAGGATTTCTTCAAAGGGTCGAACTAGCATAATCTTTTGTGATACTAATGCTGGCGTATAAGCAGACACCACCAAGCCCGTCGGAGGTCCAGCCCACCAGCAGGCATGTGAAGGTAAAAGCTGGTGGAGATGAAGAGCAGAGCTGTTCAGGATACTGAAGAAATTCATTCCTTAAAATGAAGCAGTCAAGCTTTGCAGGACACCTATTACTGGTTTCTCCCAGCCTATACAGGCACTGTTTGCCCTGTCTGCATTATTTTGTTTCAGCTAAACTGATTATATATTCTTATAAAAAGTTACTTGGTTTAGAAAGTGGTTCTTTTGCAGTCTGGACATGTCAGTTTGCTGGATTGCTGGTGTCCCCAGTTGGCTGTTTCTTCCTCCTCCCTGCATTTGTATGGTCCTTGTGCACCATTTGCATGGGGTTTTTTTTCTGCTGTGCCCATGGTTGTCCATCTAATTAACGCCAACATCACAAACTGCCCTGTTCTGGTTGAATGCTGATACTGAGAAATATCAATTTATTTTTTTTTTCTTTGCGGAGAGGAGAGACAGAGGAATTTAATTAGCACTGGGCCTCTATTCCCCTGTCAAATAATTTAATTGTTAATCATTAATTCTGAGGGTAAAAAGTAATGGCTGGCAGCAGCAGCAGAAACTGTTGCAAAACAAGTGTTTGCAGAGGAAATCTGTCTCTGCAAAGTGTGGAAGGCTCAGGTCCCTGTGAAGGTAAACTGGTGCAACACCAGTGGCTCAAGAGGACAGCACTGGATTTATTCCTCTGGTTGAACTCTTTGCAAGTTGGGGAAATAGAAGGTACCTGATTATTTACCCCAGTTCAGTGCTGCTCAGCAGGGGTTTCTGAAGTGGTTTGCCAGAAAGCTTGGCAGGGGTGTGCTGGGAGTAGTGCTCAGGTGAGCTGACTCACACGTTTGTACTTCACATGTGATCTTTTCTGTAAGTAGGTATCATAGGGGAGAGGAATAGCCATCAGGTCTCCGAGGCAGGCTGGGCTGACCAATAGAACCGTTTTCCCCTATTGCCTTCAAAGCCAGGCTAGAGCCCTGTGGGGTCTTGGGGACACAGGAGAACTCATCAGCTTTAGTTGATTGACTCCAGCAGGCTCCGAGAGGCGTAGTTGCAAAGAGAACATCAGACGGTTGGGTGTAGAAAGGCATAGTGTTGTCCATCATTAACTAGCGTTACCCATGGCAACTCTCCCCTCTGCTCTTCCCCAACCATCTCCCTGGTCCCTGAGATGGTTCCTCTCAGGCACAGAGGTCCCTGAGCAGAGACTGGAGCTCAGCAGAGCCCAGCCTGTATTCAGCCTCTGCTCGTGCTGGGGCTGCCCATCTCCACCGTGTCTCGGCAGCTGGAGAGAGGAAGGACAGATGAGACCTTTTCCTGGTGAAAAGGGAAAGGGGCAGCTCTAAACTCTGTACCCAGCCTGTTATTTCTGACTGCACATCAACATGTTCTCTTGAGGGAAATGCTGCCAGACGCTGGCCTGGGGAGGCTTGGCAGAGACTGCAAGCAGACTTTTCTTAAATGATTAGATTTACTACCAAAATGAATAGCACAATCAATATTGATATGCAATTCAATTAAAAAGGATGCAACTCATTGTCTGCATGTTTTTCTCCGTCACGTTATCTGAATTCCTGGCCTATAGCACTAGAGGGGGATAGGATAAAAGAAGAGTAGGAAACGGATTTCTGCAAGCTGCAGCACACAGCATGCAACCCGCAGAGTAGAAG